AGCAATACACAAGTTCAGTAATATTTCACACTACTTATGGGCAATTAAGTATTTGTTATCTAATTGTAAACAGATGTTTACCATTTACAGGATTTCTAATAACGAACCACAGAGAATTTTTAAAGAAGTTCGCGAACTATTTCATTTATACAATGCTACCAATTTTTTTTCAAACTGTCAACTGTTAAGTTATAGGTACTGAAACAGTTCAGAATAGTTCATCAAAGTGAATAGTTCAAATGAACTATTTGTTCACGAACTTAACATCTCTAGTTCAGAACATATACGTTCGATTACTATTGAACACATCGAGTAGCTGAATTTTCTTGAAAAAAATTGTACAGAATGGTCTTGACGGTGTTTACACGACAAATGCCCGCTCTAAGCTTGCTCACATGCACCGCAGCTGGTAGCTGTGACACGATATTTTCTATATTTTTGCCATTCGTTATTGGCCTACATTTCATCTTGCACTCGTTCTATTTCATTCATACATAGTTTTAAATTATTTATAACAAACGTTTACCTCTCTTGAATATTCACCATGTGGCATATCAATTAATGTACATTCTGACTCCTTCGTTACCCTATGAATCAATTATAATGTCTGTCTGGTCCATAAAAATTGTTGACCTCTTTTCCGAGGCACTTGTAACAAAAATAATAACAATAATCGGTTTTAAATAATATTATATAGATGTTCTTTGACGGTAAAAATGTTACAATACGATAATAAACAATGTTAACAAACTTAACAAAAGTAACTACGTAGTCAAACATAAATTAAAAAAAAAAAAACATTATTATTATGTGAAAACTCAAGTAAGTGTCAAGTATAAAAAAGTTTAGACCTATGCATTTTATTTTTTTTTATGTGTAACTCGATTTTGACCAGAATGATTGCATCGACCAACACAATCACGGAAGGTTTCTGTTAGAAAATGTTGTTCAGTTGTTGCTCTGAAGTGTTCAATGTGTACGAATATTCCAAAAATGTTCTTAATAATTGCGATAAACTAATGAAACACACATGAAAAAAAAAAGAAGGATAACATGTAGGACTTACCTGTTCTCAACGAAATTCAATTTTTGTTGTAACCCAGTCGATTTGGAGTAGATGTAATTAAGAATTTTTATCAGTTTTCAAATTTCCTATCACATCACTAATCGTTGTATAACTCGTTGGATAACAAAAGATTGATCGCCACCGATTACTTTAAACCATAGACCTTATATACTTATAGTATAAGGCAGGGGCGGATCCAGAGTCGGGGAATTGTGGGTCAAGCCATGTCAAGAGGCCATTTATTAGGGATGAAACTGAATTAGAATGAATACCTTGTAAAAAAAAAACCACAATATGCTCATTAAAGTGTATGTATATTTATACATGTATATTTATATTACATTTTAGAATTAACGATACCACCGATAATGACTTATTTACGAAAATATAAATTTTATATAATTTTATCAGCGCAACAAACGTACGGAATAAAATATGGTTTACTTAACTTTCAACTAAAACGATATGATTTAAAACATAAATTATGAATTGAAAAATTTTAAATTTTGAATATACATGGCTTTCCTTTTTCGAGTAATTCCGATGGGCCAACTGTCCAAGAGTCCAAATCAAGGTCTAAAAAGAGAAAAAAATTTCCAACAGGCCAATTTTGTCAACAAATATTGACTGTGGGTCAGCTGATCCCCTGAACCCTCCCCTAGATCCGCCCCTGGTACAAGGTCTATGCTTTAAACTGTAATAAGTGTTATGCATGTCATAAAAGCATCTATCTTGTCTATAGATAAATGTCTTTGAATTCATATAAGTTGGCTTGTTTGCAGTGGCGGAGCGTCATAGGAGACAATGAGACAACGGCTACCCACTTTTAATGCGGATACATAATTTGGTTTTATTATATTTTATTTATTTTTATTTAATACATACTTCAATATTTATCGTAATTTTACTTTTGTGCCACACCGTATTAGTATTCATAAAATAGATTAGTTGCGGACTGCGCACGTGAGCTGTCGTTGTTGTGGCCCAGTGGGTAATTCTATAAACATCCCAATATAGATACAATAAAAATTAATATAATGAGACGACACGTTGCAGCGTCTCGTTTTTCAAGGCACGGCGTGCAGGCGGAATAGGTTATTGAGTGGGGATTACCATTGCGTTATGAGACATGTCTCACATTCGTATTTATTATTTCATTTTAATATACATTATTGTAATCGTCATTGTTTTTCGCGTTGATGCGTTATCGTTCAACGTAATTTTGTTATCGTAGTTATTGGTTGGTTTTTATTTTACGATTTATTTATTTCTACTTCTTATCGTCGTCGCGCTACGAGACATGTCTCGTCATTTGTATTTATTGTTTCATTTTAATATGCATTAATGTAACCGTCATTGCTTATCGCGTTTTTCCGTTATCGTCCGACGCAATTTTGTTACCGCAGTTGTTGGTTGGTTCTTATTTTACGAATTATTTATTTCTGGTGCGATATTCGTATCTAAATATTAAAATATTACACTATTGTCAATTGCCACCGTGCCTGACGATTTAATTAATGACATTTTGAATGATGTAATAGTAAACTAATCGTACGAAAAATAAATAAGAAATAAAAAATAAAAACCGCGTCCCTTTTATTGTACATATATATAAAGTTATGAATGGAGGAGGGGGGTTGTAAAGTATTTTTTTAACGTCTCCCCGACTTGAATACTCGTGCTTCGCCACAGGAATTGTTTGGAATTGGCGTAATCTGTGTTGAAACCATTTTTTTTAACTCACAAATGTGTACACATTGGTGGAAATCCATTGGAGAAAGTGGGGTGCTACGATTTTTTACATGAACCAAAACCGTTGGAAGAAAAGCGCCCCACCACCTTAAATAATGCTTAACACATTTAACATAACATGCAAATAATTGCATTGGATCAATTACTTAAAAATAAAATAACCAACCGATAATATTTCTCTTCTCATCTGAAATTTATTAATATGTTATATGGTACTTTATAACACCGATTCCCAAACTGGAAGAGGGGAGCGTGCACACATTGTTAGGGAGGCGCAAGCAGTTATAACGAAATACAATTTTTTTTAATAAATTCCAAATGGTATTGTATAGTTTATTTGTATAATACACAAAAATGGTGATCGATTTTTTCAATTTATAGAAGAGTTAGGGTGCGAGATTTTTGAAATCCTTCAAAAGGGGCATAGAATATAAGATGTTGGGAACCATTGCTTTATAGGCTCAAAATATATTACAAATAAACAATAAAAATAAAAAAATATATAAAAGTTAATATTTTCAAATAATTTAGATTTTATTAAAATACTTTCACTGTCAATAATTTTCATTAAATCTTTTTCTATGTGTAATATAGACAGATTTGTAAAATGTTTTTGATGCATACAAGTTTTCATCCACGTCTTCATTCTACACATAATTAAAAAATATTGCTCACATGTTGCAGAGCTAACTAATAAAGTGAGTCCTACTCGTAGCATTTTATATAAATTAGAACAAAATTTCTTTTTTATTGAATTTTTAAACCATTGCTGATTTTATTCAAGCAACGTCTATTAACTGTGATTTAACATTTAGTTTTTTAATATCCAATAAATCCTAAAATACAAAATAATATTGTTTAAAAGAATTAACATTAAACAATTATCTTCAAAACTTGACATCATTTATAACTTATTAGATAATATTATAAATATTAAATAGCATAGAATATATTACCAAGACTGGTGATATAACATTAACATATCCCACCATCTGTGCACTGCTTCGGTCAATATTGCACAGCTTTGGTGTGTGCCCATCCTTATCATATATATATATATATATATAAATAGTGTGTGAGTAGTACATAGGACCAGTGAATAAATAAATGTAGATTTGAAATATTGGACAGAAATCCTAGACTAATAACACTAATGGATGGACAATATACTGATGGAGCAATAGGTGGAGCAAAGTATAAATTAATAACATATTGACTTTTTACTCACTTAATGTTAAAAAACAAATTTAAAAGCTTTAATAATTACACTATTATCAAAAAGGTTGATTTTCTTGTTTTTACTACAAGGAGCAGTTCTATGATTAAAATTTTTTTATCATAATAATTACTGGATAGGGAATGAAAAAATTGGCTTAAGTCAATAGGTTAAAAATGTTCTAATTTAACTCAAAATATCCTTTTGCTTTATTCTATATGCTGCTAAAACAATTTACATAAATATAATTATCACTGAAAAGTTTAAAACTGTCACAAACCAATATTTTAATACCATAAATAACAGCTCATTTTTTATAAATATTGTATGTTCTTTCAAAATCAACTTGTATTCTTATCAAAATGGTTTTAATTTTACATAACACATTTTGGCTTAGAATAAAAAAATACAATATTAATATAATTAATAATACATTTTTAAATTATACATAGATGTATAATCACAATATTAGCTATAAATAACAATAGAAAAACATAACAAATTATTTAGTACAAAAATAAAATTGTCATTTTTCAAATTGTTTCTAAAGATATAATATAGTATAAACAAAAAAAGTATAAAAAAAATTAAGTGAAATATACAAAATTTCTTTAAATGATTTGTAATACTTAAAATAGTATTGATAAATTATATTACTTAAATATAACAGACTTTTATTTGTTGATACATTGTAAATGGTCTGACATTTCAAAAATCAGTCATGAGTTCAATAAAATTTGTCTGATAAAATGTTTTACTGAAAACTATAACCAATCTTGTAATACGACCAAAAATAAAAATAAATATAAATAATATAAATTCTATAAATATAATATTATAACTAAAGTATAATTATGAAATTTCATAAAATTATACTATTGGTAAGATTATTTAGTAAAATATTTGATTACTTTTGAATACGAAATTTTAAATATAGGCCACAGATATTAATATAAAAATTTGACTAGAATTTATGCATCTTAAGAAATACTTTTTTTTTTTGTTAAAATCCTTAAAAACAATAACAATAACTATAAAAGTTTAGCCTTTTCTGTTTTTATATGTAGACTTGTCAGCATTTCGTTCAGCTGATACTTGTCTACGCAGATCATCAATCAATGCCATGGGTAATGATCCTATGTTTTTAAACATTTCCTAAGGAAAAACAAGAATTTATTATTACCGTAACCATTCTTTAAATACTTAATACATGAACTTTTAATATCAACTAAGAACATACTTTAATGAAAACATGACAGTTTAAAGAAAATGGCTGTTGAACAATAGACTTGAAGCATTCTGCTAATGATGCAATATCTTCACATGCCAACAATTCATTTCTATAATGTTTTACCAACATTAAGCCAGCTCTGAATATAACTTTGGATCCTTCATAAAATAAACAATCCCATACTCTTAGAGTTGTCTAGAAACCAAAATGTACAGTTAAATTATGAAATACATAGTATTATAATATCTAAAAACAGTTGAACATCGATTAGCCAAATTAGTACTTATATGGATTAAATAAATAATGTATATGTGACCTCATGGTTATTTTTTATGAGTGGATTTGTATTCCCCAAAACTTATAATATATATACATAAAACTATAAAATGGTGTAATAATACATTTTTATAATAAGAAATTTGTCATAGCTTTTACAGCTGATATCAACGCCCATTGAATGAATATGTTATCTTTTTTGTTTTAATAATATGAGGTTTGTAAGAAGGTTTAGGATAATAGATATTCTACTGTAAATAGTTAAATTTGCATTTCAATTAAAGTAAAATGAAAACTCAACTGACATATGTAAATTATTTTTTAAATAAAGAAATGGCAAATAATATAAAAGTTTAACCATACAATTTATAACTATGATAATACAATTTTAACTAATCAATGTGACACAATGAAATTTATTATACCAAATGTTAAATAATGAAATTACCTCAATTGGTAAGACCTCAGCAAAAAGACAAATAAACCACTTAGTAATGACCAGAGCCCAAGGCATATCTAAATTAGTCATATGCTGTGACACATCAGGAAATTTTTTTCTAAAATAAATGACACAATAAATAATTAACATAGTAAATAATAAACCAAAATAGCATGCATATAAATTGTATTTACTTCACAAGGCGAGAAAAAACTTCTATATCCACAATGACACCATCCATAGTTTTAGAGTAGTAGTCTGGTAGTTTATTCTCGACTAATACTCTCAATAACCAAAAACATGTTTCTTCATTTTTAGTAATTAATAACAATAAACCGACTATATAGTTTAAACCCTGTAATACACATATTATTTAGTTTTCAAATTAGATAGACAGTAAAAATTATGATATCATTTTATGTTTGAATCGAAAAACCCATACAAGAAAATGAAAAAATAAATTTCAATGAGTTTCTTTGTAATAGGAAATAATTTATTTTATTTCAATACAAGACTAAGCCATTGAGTCATATAAATAAAATGTTTTCAATTTTGTTTCAAAATTGAATTATTAATAGTTTACATTTATTAAAATCAATTAATATTGTTCAACAGAAGTACAAACTTAAGTAGATATTCTTTTAAAACAATGAGTGATTTCAATATAGCTTAATAAAAATAAAATTGAATACTTCAAGGCCCTTGAAAGATTTTTTTTTTTTGAATATAATTAATTAATCTAACAGTTTAATTTTTTTACTTAACCATCCAAGCTCAAAAAGAAGAATTCAATTTAAAATACATTAAATTAAACTAAACATGGAATTTAAATACAACAATCAATAGATTTATTTCAGAAATAATATAGATAATATTAGGTAGAAATATGGCAAATAGTTATTTTTAGATTAATAATTCATTAAGACATTTGATTGAAAATGATTTATATGAAAATCAAAAATAATACTTAAGTAGTTCAAGTTATTGGTGACATTGATATATTTTACTATTGAATATAGTTATGTATTTAGAAATATAAATTTTTAATATTTAATGTATCAAGATATTTAATTAGTCGAATATTACAAAAATAATTAAATACTACATTCTTTAGAATATTTTTCAGAATACCTATTCATTTTTAAGACATAGAAAATTGATAAAAAATATAGTTATATGAATTAAATTAACATAATAGTAATTTTAGAAATACATTATTAGAAAAAAAAATAAGATATAATGGGAATTATTTCGGACAGCAGCTAACATGCATTTAATTTATTAAAAAAAAACTACCACATTTCAAGTGATGCATGACTGAAGTATAGTATTTTTAGGTAAAATACTTAATGTTTAGAGAAAAATCAACAAAGTTCATGAATTATTTTTGGAATAGTTTCTTTTATAGAATCATTTTAAAATCAATTAAATAAAGGGAGAGGGAATAAATCAAGAGGATTAAAAATAATGTTTTTGATTTTATTGGTTTTAGATGTACCTGACAGTATCCTATGTTAGGATTTTGTGCAGCAAACGCATATAGTATTCTAAACAAAGCAGCATGATTTTCAGAGGTTGGATAAAAATAAATGTTGTCCGGATATGTTCTAGGTACATCGACTGAGATTATGTTTTTAATATCCTCATTGATAGGTTTGTTTAGCATTTGTTTGTACAGATTCGGTCCGTCCTTGTCCTTCATCTTTTGTACACCACTAATTGACGTCCACACCTGGATAATAAGAAAAAGATATTTCAAACTTGGTAATTAGTACAAAACGCCATGCATCGAACGTCACACCGACCTGCGCCCTGAGCGACAACGGTATTCCTTTGCGCACAAACTGTTTGAGCCGAGCGGTTTTCTTTAGCTGCGGGTTGGACGTCATGATTCGAGCCCATCTCATTGACCGTTTGGACAGCACGGTCAAGTACACGGACATGAATTGCTCGTACTCGACGTAATCGAAATCATCGGCACGCACGAAACCATACTCGTCATACTTGCTGTAAACGAATGCGAACAGCAGATGTAAACATATTCGGTTTGCACCAACTCAAAAACGCAAACGAGCAAACGAAAGAGCGGATTCGCGACCGGAGGGGTCACGTGCCCGTGGTCGGTCTTACCTGAATTTCGACGTCATTTGAGACGCGTTCGGCGGCCGCTCATGAATGTGGTTGAAAGTGCAGCGGCGGTGCTGGGCAAAAGCCGTTTGAAAACGACCGGAATCGGCGGCGGCACAGCGCCACGGTCCGTTATCAGTGTCAAGTTAGATACGGACGCGAGCGCGACAACGGCTATACAGTTAACGTAACGATTTTGATTTCAATAATAACCGTTCGGCGGCCTGTTGCCCGTGTGGCTCGTGTAGCGTTGCGTGTCGCCGACTGCCTCTGGCCTCGAGCTCCGCTTATCAAACATCGTCGTCCGTGCTCGTCGTTTCGCGGGCGGTTGCGGTCGTTATCAGTCGCTGTTATCGGTGCACGTGTTATCACACCTGCGTTTCTTGTCGCCGGTCACCGCTTCCGGAACCGTCTCGCCGTCGACACTCAAGACCGGTGAGAGGGATGGTGCAATGAAGGTTAAAGCCTCGAGGCCCGACGTCTCGGCATTTTATACTGATTTTTTTTTTTATAATCTCATTCGTCGCAACTAATGAAACGCGGGTTTGAATATTTTTATTGTACTAAAGTATGTACAAGCAGTACCTCTGGGGGCGATGAGCAGTGGCGCGGTCAACGTGGGTCCGAAACGGGCGATTGCCCGTGTCAAATATTGAAGGGGCGGTGGATACCCCGATAGCAACAATATTTGTTACACGACATTTCTGTGTTTTTTCGTGTCAACTATTAAGTATAGTTAAACTGTACTGGTCGACTACCAGCAGTGCTCGAATTGGAGGGAGGAGCGCGGGCGGACGGAGTCCGCTTTCATTTCTCCATAGATTTCAGCGGCCCCCTTCATTTAATCAAGCGAGGAACGCTAAAAACGAGTGCCCCCCCCCCTAGGAATATTTACTTTTGAACGGTGTGTTTGGATTTTGTTTTCGTTTATTTCAATATTCTATAGCAAACTGCAAAGTAATCAGCGGCGGATTGGTCCACCGGGATACCGGGAAAGTTCTTGGTGGGCCGCTAGTCATATTATAACAATGGGCCGATGTACTTGGATTAAAAATTATTTTATAAAAATAATGTATTGAAGTATATTGTATTAAATTGTAAGATTGTGATAAAAACCTAGTGTAAACGTGATGTTACAAAGTTCAACGAGCATTTAATCCATGAATAAAGAAGACTTTTATGAAAAATTATTAATTATTGGCCGGTCATACGGTAATTTCCCGAGCCGAAATATTTAGCCAATCCGCCGCTGATAGCAATGGTTATTTTTTCCCAGAAAACGGTTATCGTTGACGACAATCACGGATAAAAACCAAAGATAATAACCATGGCTAAATAACTATATAATTTCGTGGGTTAAGAAAGACAAACGAACAGGAGAGGATGAAAATTGTCCTGAAGAAAATGCATACAAGTCATTGTGGAATTTAATTAAAGAATAATATTTATTTCTGTAATTAATATTATTATTTCGTTATAAAATAATGTTATAGTAATAAGCAAATAAATATTATATAATAATACTACCTTTATAGTGCTAATTATACGTGCAAGGGGCACGGGGGACGAAGTCCTCAACGGGTTGCTTTACAAATTATCAGCTATGAAATGGTGTTTTTTTTTAACTTAAACCAGTGTCCATCCTCAATTTTTTTCCAATTCGAGCACTGAGTACCAGTTGTTAATTAATTTCAAAAATCAAGACGTTAAAAATATAAATAGAGTGGCTCTATCAATTTTTAAAGGGTGAGTGCACCATGGTCACTACCAGAAATGCGTATTTGCCCCCCCCCCTTTCAAATAATTCTGTTGCCACTGGTAGATATTACAGATATATTAGGTAAATCTTTGGTAGCATATTTGATAAAACCGTTTTTACTCCAGGATTTAAAGGGAACACTGAACGAATGGATTAATGACAAAAACAGGTGGTGATCGAAGAAAAGGTATTATTTTCCGGTAACATTTTTTATTTTACGCGGAATATGAACCCCGCTTAAAGTGTGTGAATGATTAAATTAGTACAACGAAGAAAAATAGAATATAGCTCAAACAACCCAGGTCTGGCGCAACATTGAAAAGTAAAAAATGCATTACACATAATTACGAGGCGTTAAATCATTAACGGTTGATTTCATGTCTCACTTGATAAACGAAAGCTCGACGATTACTCGTTCTCGAAAAAGGTCCGTCGGCTTTATGAAAAACCAGCGAACTGTGTTTTAAGAAACCCGTCATCATATCGTTATCGTTCAAACGTGCGTTATACGTACCTAAATTTAACCCGATCAAAATAAACGAATGAAAGCATCGGAAAATGTCGGAGCCCCGGGATGGGGTATAGGTTCTTTGGCCTGAGGGGTTAACGAAAAAACAACAGCGGTTTTTTTTTTTTTTTTATTAACTCGATCAGCAGCAGGATCAAATCGCAGCGGTTTCTCGGGGCGCCGACGAATCGGCCTCGGCAATAGAGATGTGTCGTTCATGAACGAACTAGTTCAATTGAACTATTCATCCAAGTGACCGATTTCGTACTAGCTCACTTTTGATGAACGACTCGTTCACCGTTCACCGTTCACTTTGTACTTTTTATACTATACGTTATAATTAATTGAACTAGTTCGTTTATGAACGAGCTAGTACCTTAATCGTTCATGATCAATTCTTTGATACGGAGTACGTATTCATACGAACGAATCGTCAAATATATGAACGATGAACGACTGAACTAGTTCACCTTAATGAACGATAAGTCCCATCTCTACTCGGTAATGTACTGCGCGCTTAGTACTGCGGTGCACCAACTGTTGCGTAAGCAATTTAACGACCGCAATGACGAAGACGACAATTGAGAAGAACAGAACCGTTTCTGCGTCGCACGTGCGTGTCCACGTTAAACACATCGGCGGACCGGTACACAGTGTACGGTAACAATTGTAATCATAATAAAAGTGCTTTCGACAATAATGCGGTGTGTAGCGCGACCAACGATGACGAAAAAACGTTATCATTTCACTGATACCGCGCGACCGTCAATTCAACCGTAATTTATGTGAACCACGCGCCGTACAGCGACTGCGACACGTTTTATTTATCGCGTGCTGTACTGTGGCGACGGCGTAAAACCTATCGGAATCGGTGCCGCAACAACCGGGTGTGCAGAGTGTGCCGTGCACACGGGCCCCAAGGCTTTCATACATTTGAGGCCCCCCTCCCTAGTCGCAGCCTAAAATAAACTGCACTTTACAAACACACGATTATTTAATAATATTATATTATTATTTTATAATAAAAAGAAACTTTTTTTTAAAATTCAGACAAGGATGTTATAATATTTTAGAGTAATATAATATTTATTTAACCATGAGTCCATTGAGTATTTGAGTAGGCATACAACATGACTATCTAAACTATTTTAAATGAATTTACTACACAAACATGTGCTGAAGTATAATATACAACAGTTGTAAGTATTTAATTTGATGTATATACATATATCATACACTAACTGATGTGAAACGTGTTTTAAAACGTAAACTAATTGATACTTATAAATAAGACGTACAACAAAAATAAATCCTAGGAAGGGGTCTAACATAATTATCGCACACGGACCTCCTATTTTGTAGTTGCGTCACTGATCGGAACCGTACCGAGTTATTGGAACATAATAATCTAACACTGTGCGGCATTGCCATTTATAACCGTTGCTGCTGGTTCATCCAGGAGCGTATTTAGACTTACTTCTAGGGGGAGGGGAGGGGTGACTCAAATTTTTTCTTTAAATCAGGCTCAAAATTTACAAGTAAAATTGTTGGTAGTATTTGAATCAGGCGCATCCTTAATATTTGTGGTTTTTTTTTTAATCTAATGCCGCTAATACACTTAAAATCGATTTTTGTGTAGTTTTTTTTTAACATCTGTCTGTGTTTTGAAAGTTATGCTTGTGTTTCATTTGATTTTTTACTAAGTATGGACCCGACAAAAAGTTCAATTCAGTGTTCACAGCCACGCGTAATTTGATTTCGTTATAAAATGATACACATTGAAACAATTTAAAATACGTATCTCACATAAAATTAATTCCTGAAATACGGATTCAGGGGGGGGGGCGATCGCCCCTTCGCCTCTCTTAAAATACGCCCATGAATCCATCCGAGCGGTAGACATAACTCAATACGTACAGCCAGTCAGGGCCGACGCTAGAAGTATCGGCACCCTTAAACCCCCTTCCAACCCACTTAGTTTGAGTAGTAGTAAAATTATGTTTTTTAGCTGAAATAAAATCAGTATGCATTTAGTATCATAACTTACTCGTATAACTGTGCATTTTTTGGACAGGTATTTTTTCGTTGCAATAATATAATAATTCTAATTTGAGCTTAGCATTTTTTAACTTTTTGAAAGTTTTTTTGGGGAACATATTATTTCACGCCGCTACTGACTATAACATAGGAATACTGTGTTTCACTAACAACTTATTTATTAAGACAACTAGAGAACGGAATTCGTTGTAAATAACTAATAAGAATTCAAAATATTATGTACAAATCAACCAAAACAAAATATATGAACATTGATTACCAGTTGACTGTAACTTGTTAGTTTATACATTTAACATTACACAGCAGATCGCATGTAAACCATAAATTGTGCGTGCGTGTCAGGCAACTGTGTCTTTTTGATTCACGCCACACTGCAGTATTTTCGCCATAAGGTCTGAACGATTTTAACATAATTTTCGAGTTATATAAATTTATTTCTAAACAGGTAAATATTTTATGAAAATAATTATTACGACCATCTAAATTATATTTTATTTACATATTTACCGCTGTTTAACGACTGTAGATTTCATATACAACCTATAATGCATGACAGTTTTTTTTTTATTCAAAGAGTGGTTTGTTTTTTCGTGTATATAATTAATTAATTTAAATAAAATACATGTTGGGATGTTTGAGCAATCTATAAATAAAACAAAAAGTTAAAAAGATTAAAAATAAAATATAATATTACCTTAAGGTACAGTATGAATCTGTATTTACATTACAGTTATGGTTACATATGCTTTCAAAAATAAACTCTTCTACTTTTTTTTCTGACTGAAGTCTTCGATAAAATGCTCAAAAGATGTAACAAAAGCGTTATCACCTTATAATACAAATAAAAATTATCATTTTCTTTATTTTCTTATCAATAAAAAATGTTTGGTTATTATTTAGAAAATTATGACTAAGTGTTCTCAAGAAGTACAAATTCATTATAAAAATATTTTAAATTCTGAGTGAAGCAAAGGATCTTATTTTATGGTTTTACAACTATGATAGTTATT